AAGGAGGTTGAATTTGGGGCTGGGGGGGGGAGAAAGCAAGAGAATTGGGACCCCTTCGGCCTCATCTCCACCCCAGGAAAGGAAGCCGGCCAGGGGGAGAGAGGGAAGGGCTTCCCCCTCTTCGGCACCTGATGGCGAAGGAGGTTGTTTTTCCTCTTCCACACATGAACTCTGACCCAACACAAGCAGAGGTTTTTGTGTATCTGTTGCGGTAGGTGGGGAGGCTAGAAAAAAAAATTATCTTCCAGAAGGACAGCTCAGGTGGCAGCTATTTCCAGATAGAATCTCCCTCTTCCAAAGTACTCTATCCTAAAAATAAATAAGAGATATTACAGCTGCTCGGGCGTCCCGTTTCTGTTTTATCTTCGGCATTTCCCTGCCTCTCCTTTTGAATGAGACGGAGTCTCCAAAGTGAGCCTTCACACCAACTCTCTTAATTACAGTGGTCCCTCTGCTTACAGACGGCTCGACTTACAAACTTTTCGAGTTGCAGACTTCTCTGGCCGCAAAATTTAGATTCGACTTGCAGCAGAGGGTGTCCCTTTGGATGAGGACTGGCTGAGAAAGGTGAGGGGGAGCAGTCTGGGGTAGTTTCCCTTTCTGGGTCTCCGCTCAAGGCAAGGTTCTGCTTTAAATGAAAAAAGCTGCTCAGGTGTCCCATTTCTGTTTTATCTTTGATATTTCCCTACCTCTCCTTTTGAATGACATAGATTCTCTAAAGCTTGCCTTCACACAATGTCTGGTAATTATTTAAGGAGCAATGTCTTTCTATTGCTACACATTAATAACAGGGCCTGATCATCCAGTCTTTGCCTGGACAGAGAATTCATTGACGCCACGGCAGCCTTCCTTTCAGCACAGGTCAGAGATGGAGAAGGACGACTCAGCGGGCGTTGGAGCAGGAAGAGAAACCCATACAATGCAGAGTGAAAGGAGTGCTCAATTGTCGGAAAGAAAGAGCCTGGATGTCCTGGATGAACTCATAGTCAGCTCACAGGAGCACTGCCAGCGCTTCAGACGCTTCTCCTACAAGGAGGCAGAGGGGCCGCGAGAGGTTTGCACCCAACTCCACCTTCTTTGCCATCAGTGGCTGAAGCCAGAAAGGCACACCAAGGCTGAGATCCTGGACCTGGTGATCCTGGAGCAGTTCCTGGCCATCCTTCCCCCAGAGATGTCCAGCTGGGTGAGGGAATGTGGAGCGGAGACCAGTTCCCAGGCCGTGGCCCTGGCCGAAGGCTTCCTCCTGAGCCAGGCCGAGGAGAAGAGGCAGGAAGAGCAGAAGGTGAGACAGCATTTCCTCTTGATGCGTGGGGAGCATATGGCCTCTCTAACCCACTAGGCATGGAGAGGGAATTGCCCCCATTTCCACATATTGTTAGAAAATATCCCCAAACTCTTTACCCATTGCTGGTGGAGAGATATCCACTATTTCCTCCATAGCAGAGCTTTATGGGCCAACATTTCTGCCTATCCTTTTGTCATTTTCTTTTCTGTTTATGAATTTCGTGGCTTGGACGCTCAACTGTTAAATCAGATCCAAAACCTCTCAGTGGGATTTCAGTGGGATTTCCTTGCAAACAAGAAAACTCCATCAGATTGGCGGCAGAGCGTGTTTCCAAGAGGGGAGAAACATGATGATGGTGATGATGATGGAAGCACCACCTTGATGGGTAAGGATTCTGGCTGGGAAGGGCTGTGTCTTTAAATTCACTTACTTTCTTGGGAGTAGGTGAGGGATTCCTTTTCTGCTTTTCTCTTTGTGTATGGAGGGGACATAGTATTTAATCATCCATCCAAAAACCCAAGCACCCCACCCGTCTTATGCAGATGATTCCTATCATGTTGCGAAAGGGTTGTTTTTAATCAGGCAAATCTATGGGACTGTTTTTAATTTCTCCTGCAGGAGTTCCAACAATGCCTATGATAAGAAACCCGATGTCTGCTCTTCTTTCTCATGGGGAGGACCCGGATCAGGTAGGGGGGCAACGGATTTCTAGGAAGATTGTATCCTATTCTCTTCTTCAGGGAAAGCCAAAAAACATGAGAAGGATACTAAGGGAGCATCTAAAACTCCTGTTTAACCCCTTTCTTCTCTTTCTGTTTACTCAGCATCTGTAGTAAAAAGAAATATACCAAGTGCCTCAAAGGCTAGCTCTAAGACCAGATCAGACTAACCAAGTTTAAAATTAAAAAATAGTAATACAGTAATTTCTTTCCCTAAGAAAATGGCCTTTTCTGAACCTGAGAGCGCTTTTCACTTTGGAGGCCTCTTCAAGCTAGAAAAATCAGAAAACTGGAAGCTGGACTTATCTGGATGTTTTGTTTCCACTGTTTAATTTCTTGCTTTTGTAGACGTTTTTGAGTGGCACCAGTTCACCGCTTCTCGCCTTTGGTGGGTCTCCAAGGGAGGTTAATTATTATCCCTCAAGATCTCTCTCTCCCATTTAAGGGACGTCTGAGACTTGAAGGCCCGCAGCCCTCCCTCTTGCTGCCATTCCGGAGAAAGTGAGATTCTGAAATGTGCAGCCTCTCGCCCGGAGGGAGCCTAGGGTCCATAGGACTCCTACTCTGGGGTAAAAGCAACGTCCTTTTGGAAGACAGTAAATTGCACCCAAAGAATCCAAATGAAACCTGGTGAAAAAAAATCCTGGCCACCCCATCAGAACTTTGCTTCAGATAACACATTAGATTCTTTTAGAGCTATGCTGGAAAGATTTTCTTTTCTTTCAGGGTCCAGTGACCTTTGAGGAGGTGGCTGTGAATTTCACCCAGGAGGAATGGGCCCTGCTGGATTCGGATGAGAGATCCCTCCACAGGGACGTCACAGTGGAGAACCGTCAGATGGTGGCTTCTCTCAACTGTAAGGAATATGGAAAATCTTTTATTCACAATTCAGTCCTTTTGACACACCAGAAAGTCCACAGACAAAAATTGTACAAATGCCAGGAGTGTGGGGAATGTTTTCCTCACAATTCTAAACTACTGTGCCACCAGAGAATCCACAGTGGAGAGAAACCGTACGAATGCCAAAAGTGTGGGTTTGCTCACAATTCACACCTTGTGACTCACCAGGGAATCCACACAGGGGAGAAACCATACAAATGCCAAGAGTGTGGGAAATGTTTTGCTCGTGGTTTTCACCTTTCCAGAAACCAGAGAATCCACACAGGAGAAAAACCATACAAATGCCAAGAGTGTGGAAAATGTTTTATTCGCAATTCTGAACTTCGGAGACATGAGAGAGTCCACACGGGCGATAAACCATACAAATGCCAAGAGTGTGGGAAATGTTTTGCTCACCATTTTGGACTTTGGAGACACCAGAAAGTCCACACAGGAGAGAAACCATAGAAATGCCAGGAATTTGGGAAATGTTTTTCTGAGCATTCACACCTTTGTGATCATCAGAGAAGCCACACTGGGGATAAGCCAAACAAATGCTAGGAATATAGAAAATGGTTTTCAAGGAATTCACTGCTTCAGAATCGTCAGAGAATACCCATTGGTGAGAAACCATAGAAATGTCAGGAATTTGTGAAATGTTTTGCTATAATTCCATATTTTCTTGATCAAGAGGTAATTTACCCAGAAGGTCATAATTCTTATCTAGATAAATAGGGACCACCTGTTTGGGAATGTAACAGCGTTCCGTGTCTAGTCGCACTGGCCATGTGACCACGGAAGATTGTCTTCGGACAAAACGCTGGCTCTATGGCTTGGAAACGGGGATGAGCACAGCCCCTTAGAGTCGAACATGACTGGACAAAAATTGTCAAGGGGAACCTTTACCTTACTCAGGACAAAGTGTAAATAAAGCCTTTAACTGTGAAAGCCTATTCAAGATTATTTATTTATTTAATTTAAATCCCACATATCTGGTTGGATCAGGACCATTCTAGGCATCTAACAACATAAATAGCACAATAGAATTGATAATTTACACAGCTCATAATACATATCTTGTTACTCAGAACAAAGTGTAAATAAAGCCTTTAAATGTCAAAGCCTATTCAAGATAACATTTCCAAAATCAGTACACTCCTCCACCCCGTTCTAAAACTGCACAGAATCTTGCAACGCTACACCATCCTTTCTTTTATGAATACAGTGGTGCCTCGCACAACAATGTTAATTGGTTCCAAAAAATTCATCGCTTTGTGAAACCATCGTTCTGCGAAACCCCATTTTCCATAAGAATGCATTGAAAACTGGTTAATCCGTTCCAATAGGAGCCTATTCAATACATTTCAATGGTGAAAAAAAAATCACCAAAAATTCAAAAAGACTCAGAATTGAGCCAAATTACTTTAACGAAGGTTTTATTAGGTGCACTAACGATTCCAAGCATTTTAAACGTTTTTAAACATTTTAGAATATTTTTAAAATAGCGAAAACAGGGCTGTCAAAAAAAACGTTAAGCGAAACAGGGGACCTAAAACTGTCATCGTTAAGTGAAGCAAGGTCCCAAACATCGTTATGCAAAAATCCCCCATAGGAAACATCGTTAGGTAAAGCGGCAAAATTTCCAGCAAAGGCCATCGTTATGCGAATTCATCGTTGAGTGAGGCACTCGTTAAGCGAGGCACCACTGTATCTCCGAAATTACATATGCAGTAGAGCTAGTCTTCAGTTAAGACAAGCAACTGGATATTGGCTACAGGAAGATTGGATTAGTTTTTGTGTGTGTGTGTGTGTCATTGTGATCAGTTAGCTTGTTCTTTTCTCTTTGCTGTAAGTGTGTTCACCAAAGTGGAAAGTAGCAGATTCGAAGATCCAGCTTGTCCTAGAAGGCAAAACTTCTGGCAGGAAAGTTCGGGTTTTTTCTTGACCGCTTCCGGAAGAGTTAAAAAGATAGAGTTTTGATTCCTAGAGTGGAAAAGAGGTGGGGAAATACGGGGTAGATAGGAAGTGGTGCAGAGTTCTCCCTAACAATAGGTTCCCCCATCCGCAAGGGAGCCCCTTCCTGTTCCCTCTTCTTTTCCCTTCCGGAAGGAAACGGGGGCTTGGGATCTCGTGTTTATTGTTCTGGGAAGGGCTTCTCCTCTCCTTCAAAGGGGGCCGCGGGGGGGTGGGGAGGGCGGTGGAAGGTGAGCCCATCCTCTCAGGGAAATGTCTGGGGAGGGACGAAAGAGACAGGGAGCCCCCCAGTCAGTCAATGGGGAGATCTGGGTCAGGGAAGGGCCCTTCGGAGGGAGAGCCGGGGCGGCCCAAGAGATTTCGCTGCCTGAGGCCAAGGGCAAGGGTTTCCCTCCCTCCCCAGGAGAGGGTTCAGCCGGGAGGGGCTCTTGGGCGCCAGGAGGGCCTCCGTGTCTCCGATGGGGAAGGAGGTTGAATTTGGGGCAGGGGGGGAGGAAGCAAGAGAATTACGACCCCCCACCTTCGGCCTCATCTCCACCCCAGGAAAGGAAGCCGGCCAGGGGGAGAGAAGGAAGGGCTTCCCCCTCTTCGGCACCTGATGGCGAAGGAGGTTGTTTTTCCTCTTCCTCACATGGACTCTGACCGAACACAAGCAAAGGTGTCTCTGTGTGTCTGCTGGGAGGGGGGCAAATAATGCCCAAAAGAAAACCTTATTTATCTTCCAGAAAGGCAGCTCATATAAGACCTATTTGCAAATAGAACCTCTCTCTACCAAAGTAGTCTACCTCAAAAAAATTTTTAAAAAATATTACAGTGGAGTTCTTTTTATTACTATTTTAAAAAATTATCTCTTGCATGTGATGTCTTCAATGAGTTATATTGTTTTCACACAGGAAAATAAAAGGATAACTCCTGAGTTTCCTTTCGTCAAGGAACTCTTAAAGGGGTTGGTTGAAAGGCAGGTGAGGATCAAAGGCAGAGGGTGTTCCTTTGGGTGAGGACTGGCTGAGAAAGGTGACGGGGAGCAGTCTGGGGTGGATTCCCTTTCTGGGTCTCCGCTCAAGGCAAGGTCAAAGCTTGAAATGAAAAAAGCTGCTCAGGTGTCCCATTTCTGTTTTATCTTCGATATTTCCCTGCTTTTCCTTTTGAATGACATGGATTTTCTAAAGCTTGCCTTCACACAACGTCTCGTAATTATTTAAAGAGCAAAGTCTTCCTATTCCTAAGGGTTAATAGCAGGGTCTGATCATTCAGTCTTTGCCCGGAGAGAGAATTCAGAGGTTTTCTTCATTGATGCCATGGCATCCTTCCTTTCAGCACAGGTCAGAGATGGC